CTGGCCCTCGGTCCTCTCCCAACGCCATAGGCTCTTTGGGTTCCTGCCACAGGAGTGCAGAAGCGCACTTCACATTTTCTCAGGAGTCCCGGGTCAAGTGTCCAGTGTAAATCAGTCCTTTCCGGTATCCCAGAGTGTACCCTTATGCGTACAGTGTCTTCGTCTGGTCATGAAGATTCCGGCAGTAAGTGGGCCACCTGCGTACACCCTCTTCATCAGTGTCGAGTGTCCAGGACAGAATGTGTAAGCTTGGTTCATCAAATGTGGGTCTCTAGTTTTAAAGAAATGGGCCTTTAGCAGAAATGTGTATTTAAATGGTTTTGTACTCAATGGACCATAGACTTGTACACTTGAAACCTATATAATCAAAATGTCACCCCAATAAATGTAAGTTTGAAAAATGTTTAAAGAGAAAAGAGGACAGAAGTTGTAAGTATGTAGCCCTGAGGCTTGACAAATGATTATGACACATTGCACTTGGAATAGTTGGTTATAGTCAGCTCTTAAAAGGCTTTTTAAAAAGAATTGTATAATAGTCTGAGTGACCTAGTTAACCATTTTAGGTTGTATGTTAAGACTTGAGTTGTTACTGCTTAAATTAAGAACTATCCAGTAAAGAAAAGTGAGGAAGAGGCTGTATCAAAATTAAATAATGAAGAGGAAACATGAAGACAAGTAAAAGGTGAAAATGTATAGAAGGTATAAGGTGGTCATTTTCATGTGGAGGAGAGCCGTAACACCAAACAGGACTGATAATTTTGTTGATTGCAAAACTCTATGAAAATTGTTCTGAAAAACAAAGAAAGAGCATGGTACACTCAATTCTCATCTGGATGTGAGTCAGATCCGACCCTTGTCGCTAAGCAGAGCCCTCTCTCCTACCTGCAGGAAAATGCTTCTTATTCTTTTTTTCCCTTTGTATTCTTCTTTCTGAGAACAAATAACTCCTCAAGGGTCTTCTGCGCACCAAACTAATGTAAATATTTGCCTTTCCTGAACTGTGATCAATGCAAACCATGAGTATTGGGGCTGGTCGGTGACGGATTGCTAGCTCAGGGCCTTGACGGGATGTCCTTGAACTCCTAGGAGCCGAGGTGACCTACATGAACATGACCGCCTACAACAAGGGCCGGCTGCAGTCCTCCTTCTGGATTGTGGACAAACAGCACGTTTACATCGGCAGTGCTGGCTTGGACTGGCGCTCTCTGGGACAGGTAATCTTTCTGCATTATATTAACTCAAAAGTTCTGTCGGCATCGAAACTCCCACATCCATAAAGCACTCAGTCACATCTGCTGTGGCGAAGGGAAGGAGACGCTTGTGCACGATCATTGAACATGCCATTAGCTCCCCTGGGTCTGTGAGTCAGCTGCAACCCACTGGAGACCTCTTCCATCAACACCCACCCCTTCTCCTCCTCACCACGCTGAGCACAAATGCCATCTCCTACCTTGCCCACCCCTTTCCCGTAGTTCTCCACAGTTGGGATCGTGTCATTATGCTTAGTCATTTCCCTTAAATCAGCCTCCCATTCAACAATGCTGGACTCTGTGGGATTTTTCTTGGTCGACCTCAGTATGAGAAAATATTGCACAGTGGGAACCTTGCATTGGAACAGATTTTAATTTGAGCAAAGTTGTGTGTGAAGCTAACAATTACATGAAGCATTATAATACATTCCCCAAGGGTCAAATTCAACCTAAATCATCAGCCTTATATATTTGGTGACATTTTCTAGTGAAATCAGGTTCTTGCCTTCAGTCTATGGCAGATAGAAGAAATAATAAAATATCACTAACAGCTTCAGGGGATCAAGGGGGATCGCTTTATATTAGGCATTCTTCTAAGCAATTAAAGAGTATGAACTCATTTCATTTGCATAATAAGCCTTCATTGTAAATACTATCATCCCTTTATTTTACAAAAGACAGAAGCTAAGACACAAATAAGCAACTTACCCAAGGTCACCTTCCAAGGAAAGGCAAAGCTAAATTCATACTCAGTAAATCTAGCTCCAAACCCCTCCCTCTTACGTCACTGCCAATAATTTTTTTAATTAGTTACATTTAAAAAAATCATTTTCTTCCATGATGTTACTGTACACTAAGCTATAGATTTCCTCTCCCATACTTTTCTTTAAAAAAAGCCAACTCTGCCCTGGCTGGTGTAGCTCAGTGGATTGAGTGTGGGCCTGTGAACCACACGATCACGGTTCAATTCCCAGTCAGGGCACATGCCTGGGTTGCAGGCCAGTTCCCAGCAGGGGGCTCACCAGAGGCAACCATACATTGATGTTTCTCTCCCTCTCTCCTTCCCTTCCCCTCTAAAGATACATAAATAAAATCTTTTTTAAAAAAAGGAAAAGAAAAGCTAACACTATTCATCAAAAGGACCCTTCACTCATTCACATCTTTCAGATTCCAAACCCAGGATGACATGACAGCCAGAACATGAAGTGATGCCTCTGGGGTGAATTTCAAAGACTAGGACGTCAGTACGTTTGTGTCTGAGCTTCTCCCTCCCCACCCTCCAGGGGTTCAGGGTCACCTCCCAGACTCATGGCCACAGGGAGTCCTGAGGGAGGAAAAACAACCTCCCCAGGTTCTTCCAAGTAGGGGACTGGATTTGTGAATCTCAGGAGCCCCTAAAAGTACCATCGAGAAAACAAGAAAAAAAAATAGATATATAGCACTAACAAAGCAACCAAAAGACAGGCTAGTGTGTGAAGCGGGAAGAAAAGGCCACAGCGGTCCTACAACCACAGGACTTTGGAGACGCAATTCTCAAAAAGGAGAAGCTAAGGAAGAGAATGTGAAAATCTGTGTTTTGAGAAAAATTTGCTTTTGTAATTATTTTAACATCCCCTCTTCAACGAACTACTAGCCTGGAATTGAAGGTGGGGTTAAATAGTTTCACTGATCACAGGAATCTGGCAATTCTGAAGTAGGGGAGATTTTTTAATGAGTCATGTTTTTAAAAATAATGGAACAAGCAGGAACGAGCCGTTTAAACTCTGTTCATGTGTATTTATATCTTAGTCCCTTTTGTCTGAAAAGACCTGAATGGCTCTTGGGGTGCACAAGCTCCAGAGAAGCAGGAGGGGTTTATTCCGGTGACTGCCCGTCCCTGAGCTGGTGATGGGACCTCACAGCCCCCAGGATGGGACATCACAGAGGCTTAGCCAGCTGCCCAGACCTTGTCCTGTAGCCTGGATGGGGAGGGCAAACTAACCAGCTCTGATTCGACTTGGTATCTAGTCTCACCAAAACTTTTCATCTTGGAGGTGACCTCCGAGAACAATCAACATAGCGTTTGCCAAGGCGCGCTCTATGAAATGCTATTTCAGGGACTTGCTCGGTCATACCTGAGAAAAGGGCTTTCTGCACCCTAAGACTGAAAAACTCTGGATTTAATTTAAATATGTTCCTTCACTGTCGGATTCCTTTGAGCTGTTCATAATGCTAATAAGCTTTGTGACTCCCTAAGGGGGTTGGGTCTCCAGCATTCATTAAACCTGTTTGACCGGGAGTTCGTTTTCCTCGTTAACTTTCTGGACCAAATATTCCTTGAAACCTACCTATTTCCACCAATGGCGGTCTGAGCTCATCTTCCCCTTTTACGGATGAGGACACTAAGGCACAGGTCTGGAGGGGGGAGGGGGGTGGATTACCAGGTCAGTGACGTAGCTTCTTGGCAAGTTTGAGGGCTCTCAGGCAAATAGTCTTTTTACTACAGTGTACTACCTTAAGAAAAATTTGTGATTCCAAAGCTGTGAACTGTAGGTAGGGTCTGTCTCCTTAGCAACAAAAGAACTGGACCACTGGCAAGCTACTGCTTACGTGTTAAAGATAACCAACAGATAGTCATTGCATGTTTAGTGTACTCAGACAGCTGCACTAGAGAGTTTGAAAAAAACCCAACAACATAAACACACAAAACATTTAAAATTCTCTTTGAAAAACAACATATTTAAGCACTCTTTAAATATGACCACCCAGGAGATTTGCCAAACAGAGCCAGCAACATAATCCATGGGACCAGTACAAAATGAAAATTTGAGGCTGCTTGTAAAAATATTATCAAGAATTTCAAGAAGGCAAGAGCAGAGTCTTAAGCCAAGCATGGGGTCCTTCTACGCCACGGCCCGTCTGAGTTTGGGGCTCTGAGTGCCTCAGGTCACATGTGTGTGAGCCATGGTGCCGCATGAGCAAAGCCACCCGTCAGTGTTTTGGAGACTTGGGGAGAGGAAAATCCCTGCAGACTAAACAGTGAAGGGCCACAGCAAGGAGGTGGGTTTTGAGCTGAGACTGAAGAAAGGGATTCGAAGAGTGAGTGAAGACGCAGGGTTGGCAATGAGTATGGCATGTTAGAAGATGCACGAGCACTTTCCTGCACGATCAGAGTGTCCCAGGTGGGGAATCTGGGAAGGGAAGGCTGGGAAGGACAGGTGCAGGCTTGGGAAGGACTGTGAGCGGCCACCAAGCGCAGAATGTGGATTCAGACGTGCAGGCTGCCACAGACCCACTGACCCTCTGTGGTCAGAGCCAGGACCTGACAACACGGGAACAGATCCGGGGTGCACACGTTGAGGAACGAGGGGGACATGGAGAGAGTTCAGCCAATGGCTGTGATTGAAGAGGGCAGTGACAGGACATCGTCTCAATGATGATGCCGTGAAAATGAATGGTATGTGTCCACTTGGCTAGGCAAGCTGCCCAACTGTGTAGTCAAACACCAGTCTAGAAGATGCTGCGAAGGTATTTTTCAGATGTGATTAACGTTTAAACTAGTAGACTTGAGGAACGCAGATGATTTTACCCTGTGTAATCAGTTGAAGGTCTTAAGTGCAAAGATGAAGGTTTCTAAAATAAGGAATTTGGCCTTGAGACCACAGAGTGAAAACCCCACCTGAGTTTGCAGCCTGCCAGCCCGCCCTTTGAGTTTCAGACTTGCCGTCCCTCACGATCATGCGGGCTGGTTCCTTAAAATACATCCCTCTCATTGCTTCTTGGCCTTTCAGCTAAGATCACATGTAGTATCTATCCTTATCAGTTTAATATCTGATATGTCCTCTGTCGAAGGACATTATATTAAATGGAGTTTTGGAGCTGGGAGATGGAATAGGAGCTTGCTCCATGCATCAGCCCGGTGTTGCAGTACTTCTGGGAACCGTGTACCAAAAGAAAAAGAAAAAGAAAAAGAAAAAGAAATAAATCTCTCTCTCTCTCTCTCTCTCTCTCTCTCTCTCTCTCTCTCTCCATATATATACACACCTGATTCTGTTTCTCTGGAGAATCCTGATTAATACAGAGTGACGATGAGACCTGGAAGGAAATGACACAGGACAAACATGGCAAAGCTGCCTCATAGTGACAGACTAGCTGAGGAATGAGCCACGTGAGGCTGTGGCCATTATTTCCAGCCTCTGGAGCTGGGCCCACTGAGAGAAGGACCATCTTGTCCACAGAAATGGAGAGTGTGGGGGAGGGGCCGTCCTGATGTCCAGCGGGCAGCTGACAAAGCAGCGTAGAGATTGGCTGATGCTGTGCTTTTTGTGTAACAGCTTGAGCACCCGAAGAGTAATGGTTCCTGACTGACCCTAAAGCTGTCCATTTCCTGGTAGCTGCTGTTTCTGATGATGACCCTCTGGGGGGGTATTGAGCAGAGCTACACCCCTTCTGCCTCACCCAGCCCGGATGTCTTTCAAGCCTCCCTGGGGGTTGCAGCCAGAGCCTCACATCAGCGATGAGAAAGGATGCTAGGACTTGAGGAGTCTGATTCCCTCTTGTCTTTTTTAAAAATTTCAATAAAGAGAACAAAGGACCGAAGAGTAGTTTTTGAAGACCCAGTGGGCGAGCGTGTGGGCAGGAGGAGGTCACTGTTTTCACCACACATCTGCTAGCTCTGCGTTGACATTTTAATCAGAATTTATGAGCTTTTAACAGCAGGTCTTAGCTCTTAGGAAGGTGGTGCACTGCTAGTGCAGGTAACTGGATACCGGAACCAGCATGAAGATGGACCACAGTGAAAGGCAATTCAACCGCAAATACGGCAGAGAATGATGGACATTTCTTAGGCAACGTGTAATGAAGGAAAACAGAGGGAGAATTCCCCCAATATTGATTTAAAAGATTAGCCAGGCTGCATAGAAAGGTTATTTTTGTTGGCATATGCATTTTACTTTATTTATCTTCTCAGTTGAATAAAGTTCTTTTTAAACGGGATTTATTGGGATGGCATTGGTTCATAAAATTTTTCAGGGCAGAGAAAATAGGAGAGGGTAACGGATGCTAGATGGTGATGGAAGGCACATGGGTTTCAAAGTAGATGAGGAAATGGGAGATGCTGTTTCTTACAGAAGAGATGTATTAGCAGACTGCGTCTTCAACAGCAAAGTTCTGCCTCTTTTCTACCATGTCTAAAGGAACAGCTTGGTAGATAATATTGTCTCAAAGAGCCTGTGTAGGAAATCCTCTCTCCTGGTCTCCCATGGGGGACATTCTCGCAAAGCTAGTTTATGTCTGTTATAAAATAGTCTCAATTGGTGCAATTAAGTGAAGAAATAAGAGCATCATTAGTCTTCTTCTGCTTGCCTTTCCTACGATGAGATTCAGTCAGTAAGTCCCACTTATTTCCCAAGTCTTCCCCCCTGGGTACCTCCAACCCTTATTATAAACGGCATGATCATCTGAGATGTCCATTAAAGCTCCTTAGATGGCATGTCTTGAGATCTCTTATCTCGGCCACTTCCTTTTTTCTAGATGTAATCATTTGGTTAATGTCCCTCTTAAAAATACGATGCTTAAAATTCAATACAGTAGTTCAGAAGTAGCCTCCTCACATGGACTTTGGCTGGTCACGTGAACACTTTATTTCTGGAAACATAGGCTAAGTGTGGAGCCACCGTTTGGCCCCCCTCATTATTTTCGTTGGTTGTTACTAAGCTCACTGCTTGACAGTATAAGGTATAGTGGTTGGAGTTCAGGAGGACTGAGCCTGAATTTTTTTTTTTGCCTTTAATAATTATATGACTTTGGGCAAGTTTGTTCATTTCTGTGGACTTGAATCTACAATTGAACTTACAATATCGAACTCCTACAATTGGCAGGATGAAATGGGGTGTTCTGGCAAACCCTAGCCCTGGGCCTGCAGCATGGTTACTGCTCAATAACTTGTAGCCTTGGAGTTGATGACTAGAAAACTGTTTTTTTCCTTCCTTGATCAGTTACCAAGATGAATGGATCAGGGGAATGCCAGAGAACCCAGCGTTTATTTATTGTTCTGGCTGAAGATTAAATCTCCTCCCTAGGTTGATCCAAAATCATGTGGCCTAGTTAACCGCAGAGTAAGGTGCAAAGTGACACCCAAGGGGCATGGACCACAGGCTGTGTCCCTCTGAAAGGAGGTCTCTAATGTCTTTTGCCATTGAGCTACCATCTACATCAGGTGCTTGCTGTTCAAAGTTATCATCATCACTAATACATAGAAAACAACTGACCAAATTTACAAACTCTGCGGGTCAGCACTTAAAACTCAGTTTTCAGAAACATGACTTAATGAGATTTTAGCAAGTGACTCAGACCAATGCCAACAAGAAGAAATTGAGCGAGAGTATGAAATAAATAATGTCCATCTAAACAAGAATGAGCAAAATCACTGATTCTAGACAGGGGGCAAGGGAGAGAGACAGCCGTGTGCAAGAGAAATAGCCATGATCCCGGCCAGGGACTGAGTTCACAACCTACGCAGCACGTACCCTGCCTGGGAATCAAACCTGCCACCTTTGATTGACAAGATGATGTTTCAACCAACTGAGCCACACTGGCCAGGGCTAAACACGTCAGTCTTAAAACTGTCTATGACAAATGGAATTTGACCTTGGAAATTGCAGAAGGAAGGATTCGTATCAGTGTAAACAAGAATTTTCTAACTCTAAAGTCTTCCAGCAATGGACAGGCCAACCTGTGAGAGCCAGCGCCCTGTCACAGGCAGAAGAGTGAAAACTTCTCTGGGATGCAGAGGAAGAAATATTTTGGTGACAGGACCAGGAAGAGAGGGCACGGAGCTCTGATTTCTTCATCGAAGCTTAAACATACGGAGCTCAATAAATGTGAGCTAACACCATCATCGTCATCATCCTTATTATTATTATTATTATTTTACACAACTTGCTACCCACATCAGGGAAGAGGCGGGACACCTCTGCCTCCCATCCTTGCCTTAGGGACCAAATTACAGGTGTGTTTATGCCCGAGGGGCTGGCCACACCCACTGTGTATGTTGGGCTTGATGAGAGAGAAGGGACCTATCCCCAAATCTGGTCCGCACCAGTTTAGTAACATTTCTGACACTGGCCTCATGCTGGTTGAGAATATATTATTCATCATAAAAGTAAATTTTTATATACAGAAAAATACCACTTCAACTCATGGAGTTTTAGTTTGGTTTGGTTTTAATATTGAAGGAGAACTCACTATTGAAGTGGTGAAGCTCATTTAAAACATACATACAGGCCCTGGCTGGTGTAGCTCAGTGGATTGAGCGCGGGCCTGCGAACCACACGATCGCGGTTCGATTCCCAGTCAGGGCACATGCCTGGGTTGCAGGCCGGTTCCCTGCAGGCCAGTTCCCAGCAGGGGACGCACAAAAAAGGCAACCATACATTGATGTTTCTCTCCCTCTCTCCTTCCCCCCTTCCCCTCTAAAGATAAATAAATAATAAAAATTTAAAAAAAAAACATACATACAGATTTTATTTCCTTCAACACAAGTTTATTAAAAATGTTTCATTGGATTTCTCTGAGAGTTTAGTCAAACTAAGAAATGCATTCATTTTAACCACTTTATTTAAAAAGATTCACTTAGGTGATTTTTACTGCCCCGTTTTTCTCTATGGCTTTCATGTTTTAATTGGAAAGAACTGGAACGTATTATCTTGATATAATGACTTGCAGAAATACTACTGTTACACCCATAAATCATTCTGCATACTTCAAGTGTTACAGCTCAAGCATCTGTTATAATTAGCTGTCACTTCAGCCCCTTACTGTTGACCTCACCAAAACATAGCTGTCGTATTTTAAGACATTTTCTGGAATTTAATTCCCTCAGCAACCTTGTGTGGAGGGAGAATTAGCTCCATGGCTTGGCACCACAGTGACACGGCCATCCTCCCCCACACCCACAAACTGGGAAAAAGACTCGGTTCTGAATTGCCTGCGTGGCTGGCTGTTTGTTCTAGAAACCTCGGGTCTGAATTTCATTCTCAGAATCCTGTGGGAGAGGCTGTACTTCATGGTAAAGCAAGATGCAGACAGACAAACACATAGGTCCAAATGTTCATAGATTCATAGTTTTGAGTGAGAGCTCTAGACTTTTTGGGAATTTCCTGTGAACATTGATTTGTTTGGTCCTCACGGCAGCCCTGTGATACCCAGGACAGGCCAGAGACTGCATCTTACAGATCAGGCAGTGGTGTCAAAGAGACCGGTGCAAGCATGTCCCCGAATTATCCCATCAGTGTCAGAGTCAGGACCAGGGCCCAAACTTCTGGTCTGTTTAACAGTCCTTGGCCTGTGTTACATGCTTTCTCCCAACAATCTGCTTTGCCCTGGCCCGGTGGCTCGTTGGTTGGAGCATCATCCTGTACATCTAAGGGGGCAGGTTTGGTCTCTGGTTGGGGTGCGTACGGAAGGCGACCTGTGGATGGGTCTCTCTCACATCAATGTTTCTCTCTCCCTTCCTTCCTCTCTCTCTAAACTCGGTGAACATGTCCTCAGGTGAGGATTAAATGTATGTTTTGGGCTGAATCAGTGGTCCAGATACAGGGTGGGGCAAAGTGGATTTACTATTGTGAGTACACAATACACAGAGTTCATTCTCGTATTATTTATTAGTCATTGTATGCTTTCTATACAAACAACTGTAAACTTTTGCCCCATTTTGTATATAGCAATATCCCACACTTACGGTAATATCCCAGAGATCTAGAAACTGGATATTTGAGAGGCTTCTCTAACTAGAGTACAACCAAGAACCAAAAAATAGATATATGCAAATTTTGGACTGAAAGGTCACCAGTTCAATTCCCGGTCAGGGCACATGCCTAGGTTGCAGGCTGGGTCCCTGTTTGGGGACCTATGGGGGCCAATCAACTGATATGTCTCTGTCTCTCTTACACAG